AAAGCAATTCATGTGCCGGCTATCACGTCATTTTCGCGTCCTGCCAATCTTCACTCATGAATGCTGCCCTACGATAATTGAAGTTCCCCACTTACGAACAACTTAAACCCGCTACCTCTTTATTATAACTGCGCTAACCTACAGAGCACAGCGAGTAGCCATTTTCAGGATCAGGAAAAAAGCGCTTTTGGCCAGGCTGATCATCATCGCACGTCGTGATGTAGCAGGACGATCAGGAATTTGTTCAAACTCAGCATAACGAGAGGAGAAAATGATAAGATCGGTTGCAAACAGCAAGCACCTCAGTCACACAATCCTAGCTGCACTGCTTTTGGCGTTTTATCCGGCTGAACCAATTCGTGAAATAATGAGCAAAAGATGGAACAGCTGACGTCCTGTGAGGAGATCAACAACCACTTCGAAAGACATCTGTTATTAAGACTGTACACCGCTGAGCAGTCGCCGAATGATCTGGTGGAACCCAGTAGCTGGTCATTCACACCATATTAATGTATGAATATCACTACGATCAGAGACCTAAGACGGTCGCAAGCCTTTTTCAAATCTGTGAAATAAGAATATATCTGGCTCTCATGTCCTATGCATATTTTGCAAAAAAGATATAAAGACTTGATCTACTGTTCTGTCGTCAGGATAAAAGGCACACCGCTTGTTCTGAACCTGATGCTCTACGAATTTTCGGAATCGCATTATGAGTTACGTAAATTCTACCAGGGAGGCTGAGCAGCACAGTACCAGCAGAGGTTTATAGATTCCCGTTTCTTGAACACCGTGGTTAATCTTTCCCAATGAAAATTTTTTACTGCCTCTTCGAAGCTGTACTCAGCATGGAGTACGCAACTCAGACAACCGATACCATCGCAACTCAAGACCTTGAACGTCTCAAGCCAGACACTATAATCCTCAGCCACATGACATTCTTCAAATGAATGTAAATGCGAATGAACGGATTTCACTGCTCGACTATATGACACACAGTCGTATGTTCTGGTACAGATCTCCTCACCACAGTCCGCTAAGCCACTATGATAATAGCAGACTACCTTGCGCCGAAAGATTTACCCAATATGAGCAGGATCAACAGAAAATGAACATAAGAAATCTTCAAAATGATTCCTGTGGGGAAAATGTCTTCCTTACGGTTTAGAAGAGTTCTGTCCGTTGTCTTCACGGCTTGGACAGTATATTATCTTCGCCGGCACACGTGGCCAATAGTCTGTCACAAGACTTTGACAGTCGATCAGTAGTCATAGTTCAATTTCCTACCGGATCATTTTCAAGCCCCTGCATTTGCAACTTGCGGTGCCTGTCTGCAATTTGAATGACTCGACGTCACGAATGCATAAAGAAGACAAAGACTAGGTCGTATTCGCAGGTCAGGCCAAATAAGCCTTCTTTGCTTTAATGACGTCCTGAACTTCCGATTTCCACAACGGAGTTCTTCATTGCCGCCAGTCACAACAACAAACCCTCTTTCATCCTATAGAAATAAAAACTGAAGCAATTAGTGGTCCTGTGAACATGTTTCAATGCATATCGAAGTCTGAAGCTTGACAGGGTATACAACTGATCCTCGCTAGCCAATCATCCTCACTCGCATGATTTCCTTTTCTACATTTTCCAGGCTTCCCGCCCTATTCTGAAGAAAAATTTCAACGTACCGCACTCAGCGATTTCGAATAGTGCAGTTTGTAGACAGGGTAATTTGTTGACCATTTTGCACTTTTGTTGCGAATATCCAACATCACATAAAACAGGCATGATGAGAATATCACCAAATTTAGTAAGCCATCCCTGCCCTCAAGGACCCAACACCATGTTCATCCATAGACAAGGTAGGATATTAAGGTGTCGAAAAGAAATCTTCAATACCGATACCGTTCGCGTAGCAGAAATAATTTAATATTTTGACACAAATCATGTCAACGTGGCGTTCATTGCACTTCAAGGCCATTTCTTAACTAAATCACGAAGAACGGCCTTCAGACGAGAACAGACGGTACTTTTCGTGGTCTATTCTGTCACTCTTGTCTATATAATTCGCTTCAGCTGAAATACCATAGAGCAGTAAGATGATAATATATATGCGCCATGTATGATAAAATGAAATATATACATGATAAGATACAACATATCTGCACATCGTGATCCCCAAAAATACTCAACCTCCGAATTTTAGGTTGCATTGACAGGTATGCTCACACACTGTTTACAGAACGAAGCTGCATACGAAAGTTGGCGGCGAACTACCGAAAACACTCTACACCAGATGTTCACCAGTTGTATAGACACTGCTGTAACGTCCGCATTGTCAAAATGCTTGAAACGGTTGATGGAAAATCAGAAGCTGAACAGCATCTCTTCATGAAGATCCGACCGCGAATAGCATTCTCC